GGGCACAGCTCTGTCCAGCTTTGATCTCAAGTGGGCTGCACCTCTTAAACTCGCTGTTCATGCCAATGTAAAGAAGTTTAAATGCACATTTAATCCCTCAGATATTTTTAATAAGAAAACAGAAGGGCATCTTCAACAGTATGTCTAAATTATTCCAGTGATAAGACAAACATTGCCGTCAACATTACTCTTTGGGCTGAAATTGTAAGAAATACATTTGTAAAATGACAGAAAAAGCACATCAGACTGTCCCGCAATTAAAAACAGAAGGTTTTTTTTTTTCATTTGTAGAAAATTGTCTTTTTTTCTACTAAATGTTTCTGTGGACCTACTGCTGTGCTCTCCCTCTGGCCACTTCCTCTGGGAAGTTTAGTTTAGAGCTTTGTTTGTTAGTAGTTTCGTCTCTGTGTATCATACAGTAGTGCTTCCAAGCTGTGCTGGAAGTCTGACATATATAAATCTACAAAATAACAATCAGAGGTATATTATTTGTAATTTGTAATTATTCTAGACTAGTGTATAAAAATTATTACCACAATTAGATGAACAATAGATGATTAGATGGTAAAGTAATCATATGATAAAATGTAGCTGTTAAAATTGTCAGTTATGTGTATTTGCTCTGACCTTTAATGAAGGTGCTAAATGGGAACCTACTTGAGCTGGTGATAACTATTTTTAGCTAGTTGAAATCAGTCTTTAATGATGGTTAAGTTTGATTGATTGGAATCTCTCAAGCTCTCAGATAATTTTTCTAAGACCCCCATGCCTGCTTTATAAGTATGGGGCACCGTTTGTAAAGTGAAACATGCTGAAATTAACGGCAACATTTTTCCACATTTAGCTCAAAACAAGTCATTTTTTACAACATTTAGTAAAATGTTAATATAATATTTAGATTTAACATTTAACATTTAGATTTAACATTTAAAATTCTGTTTTAAATATGGAAAGTTACTAATATTATCTAAATGCTAAATGTTAAATGTTAAATCTAAATGTTTAGGCTAACATGCAAATTTATTGCACTGATCAGCGGAAATACCAAAATAAAAGCTTTCCGAAAACCTCCGGTGCAAAAGTGTGCCGGTAGTGGTCAGACACGTTCTCACTCCCAAAGCGTAATAATTTTCGCTAGGTGACAAATTGTCAACATTTTATGCTTTCTGGTACCCAACACATTCCTAAATGACGGCATCGGAAAAAGGAGAGCACATGAGAGCCGTTTGGACTCAATCTACACATGTTCGTTCATTTTCTAAAAATCGCTTTGGAAAACACTATTTTACGTCATTTAACTGCTAGTAAAGTTATAGTTAGGGATAAGTTTGGTTTAGGGATGGAACACATGGCTGGAACGTCTATTATGGCGGGACCGTCATTCCACTGGAATTCAGCCATAACCAGACCATGAGAAAGCACGTCCGGCGATTTAGCTGAAAACATCGGAAGATCCGTTTTGTCGGCCATCCAAAGGTTCAGCAGTAGTGCACTCTTAGCAGCTGCAGTCTCCACTTCACAATCGCTGCAGCGCATGTCCAAATCGCTGGACATGCTCGTAGGCAAGAAGTGAAGCAGCTCATGGCGGGGAGAAGTGAGGGGGAGAGCAGACACAATTTTGGACCGGAGGTTTTCGGGAAGCTTTTATTTCGGTATTTCCGTTGATCCGTACAATAAATTTGCATATTAGCCTAAACATTTAGGTTTAACATTTAACATTTAGATTTAAATATAATATTTAGATTTAACATTTAACATTTAAATTTAAATATAATATTTAGATTTAACATTTAACATTTAGATTTAAATATAATATTTAGATTTAACATTTAACATTTAGATTTA